CCCTCCACCGGCGCCATCTACCGCCACCCCTCGCCGGCGCTGTCATCTACCACCACCCCTCACCGGCGCTATCTGCCGACGCCACCAACTGCTGCAACCCTACATCATCACCGCCGCCCAACTGGTGTTGCCATCCGTCGCCGCCGTCACAACTCCCTCATTGCCACCAATGTTAAATTCGGGGCCACCACTCACCTCTGAGCACCGCCGCCGTCACAACTCCAGTGTCGTAGATTTGCCATTAAGTTGGCAGATTTTGCTTGAAGGTTGATTGCAAATCTGCCATTAATATTAAGTTGGCAGATTTGACTGATATGCCAAAAAGTGGCAGATTTATCTTGGAAAAACACCACAAATTGCCATACTTTTGGCAAAAATATGAAATACCAACCAAATATTGAAAAATAATTTTTTTGAATGCAAGAAACACTCTAACACAATAAAAACAAAATTACGAAGCTATTGACAAAATATTAGATAAGCAGATTTACAAAAAATCTGTTCTACCAAAAACGATAGTCAGTGTGTTCATTTTTTCCATAAACTTGGCAAAACTTTATTCCATCATTTAAAAATCCGGAAACTTGAAATTCATTAAAAATACTGAAATTTGAAAACGGAAATGCAAAACAGAAGACCAAAAATCAACAAATCGAATTTCAGAGCAAAAAAAAAAAAGATGAATGGAAGAAAAATCAGAAAAATCAATTTCAAAGCCAAAAAAATAGAATAATAAGAGGAGGAGGATGAAGAAGAGGAAGAGGAAGAGGAAGAGGAAGAGGAAGAGGAAGAGGAAGAGGAAGAGGAAGAGGAAGAGGAGGAGGAAGAAGCGGAAGAAGAGAAAGAAGAAGAATGAAAACTGACCAGACGGCGGCGTGTGCAGGGTGGAGTTGTCGGCAATGTCGGTGGCAAGGGATGAGGTCGGAGATGAAATCGATGTAATATGCAGGGCAGTTTGAATCGATCGATCTGATGAGGATTGAGAAGAAGAGGAGAGATGATTGTGCGAAGGCCGAAGGGGGAGAAGAAATTGATCGATGTGTTATGCGGTGCGATGGAGAGAAGAAATTATCCAGATGTGTTTTGGGGGTGTGGATGCATCAGATAACAAAGCAGGGGCAATAATGGAATGATAAATTCCTTATGTTTATAATAGGAGTAATTTGGCCCTATTTGGGAATAAAAACATAAGGAGTCCTATTTTAGATTTTTATCGTAGTTTTACTCCTATTTAGAATAATTTCTATAAACTCTATTATATTACATAGTATTACCGTAACTATTAAATTATAAATACCAACCACTTTCATTTCTATTTATATATAATAGTAACATATAAATATAAATATAAATAGCAATAACAGATCATTAATCATTAATAAAATAGTATGGTGTAGTAATAATATCGTGATCGATAATAACCATAGCAACAACACATGATGTTATGTTAATTAATAATATATTTGGGGGACGTAGCTCACATGGTAGAAAGAGAGTAGCACAAGAGAGATCAACTTTGTACAATGACTTAGGATGGAACCTAACCTCAATCTCTTTCTATCAGAGCCTGATCAAAACTCAAATTACATCCTTCCAGATAATTGTTTGGTCGGTTCTGGGGGCCCTCGGAGATGGGTGATATCTTTTTTTATTATTCCTTCCATAACATTTATATCTTCCCAATTTTTTTTTGGCCGTAACATTCATATCTTCTCATATCTAAATCTTTCCATCATACCCTCAATAATTTTAAAACTAATACACTATTACAACTAATTTTTGGAATTTACCCTTCATTCCAACACATTATTATATTATCTTCCCATCATACCCTCAATAATTTATATCATCTTTCACTATTCTTAATCTTACCTACTTTTGACCGGGAAGATGCAAATGTTACGCAGGTAGCAATTAATAATAACACATAGGAAATGATAATAGTAATAATGATAATAGTAATAATTGTTGATCATAATAATAAGGTGGGATTTTAATCGCATGAGTCATAAAGCACATTTGGTGACCCTGTTTTTCGACTTATCAGGCATATCAATTAACATTTTATCAAAAGCGTAACTTTTAATTTTGCGCGTGAAATTGTGCAATAATAAGAAAAAGTATGGTTGAACTTACTTTTGTGGATGCATTGGCTGGAGTTACTGTAGATGACCATTTTAACTATTTTCCTTTATTTGTATTAATAAAAAAACATTTTAAATATAATTTTTTCATAAATTAAAATAATAAGACAATTCAGCCACTTCAATCAGAACTTCATAAATTTTAGAGTTGCGAAACGGGCTCTTAAGGGTTTGGTGCTTAATTTATAGCATGTCTCTCTATAATGCAAGTATTTGTGGTTAAGTGTTTTTGTGTATTTTCAAATTGGGATGCCATTTTGAGAGAGGTTTGGGCCTTTAATGTATCCCCTCTCTTTATTGTACTCTCCCTCAATATTTATTATATTCTAGTAAATGTTACGTTCTCCGACATTTGCTCACTGATTTTGGTGATTTGCTTACCGGGTTAAAAAAAGAAAAAATAATATTCATAATTAATTTCTCTGAAAACAATCTACAATAATATAGTGTTTGTTACATGAAGTGGTTAAATTATTTAGAAAAATAGGTTTATATAATTAAAATGAATTGATAAATTAGAAAGAAAACACCATTCAAAATTATACTAACATGCGGTTAATATAACTCAGTGCTACTTTAATTTGGGCAGTAAATTTGGATCCAAAGGATTTGCTAGGGAGTACTTAATATTGATCTCTCTGTCTCATATAATTGTGCCAAGTTTGGCCAGTATGTGGAAACATAAAATAATTAATAATATAAAAATTGTATGATTGAGATTTGTATAATAGATAGAAAAAATGATAAGAATTAAAACGTAAATTAGCTGATTAAAAGTGAAAGTAGTAAAGTCTTTTGGACACTCAAAAGGGGAAGATGATATATATAGTTAGAATGGAAAGGTGCACGATGTATTTTATGTGTGTATAATATGTTACTAATATATGCAATTAAATGTACAAATAAAAACATTTCATTTATTTTCATACAAATGTTCCTAACAAAATGCATCTTATATGTTTTAAAGTGAACGAAATACACACTAACATAACTAATATGACTACACTTGAAAGGGGACTTTAAAAACTAAAATCCCATATACGAATTAGCATACTAAACACACACATACACACAATCAATTTATGTGCTAGAACTTGAATATACTTTTATAGTTTTATCCCGTGCATGGCACGGGTAAAAATACTAGTATATTACATAAAAATGTCACTTTTACTGTATAGAGGCAATGTTGGTTTTTTCCGGAGTAATTGTAGTGAAACAGCAAAGTACTAGGAAATTAAATGTTCAATAGATTTTCTAAATGTAAAGATAGATAAAGGGAAATCCTATTTTTCTTCAAATGCAAGACTCGAGAACTTTCTTTTTTACTTAACTTAAATAATTCACTATTTTAAGCAACCTAACGACCACTACCTCCACCCTTCAACTGGTCAATGTCTTCACCCCCACAGCCCCCCTTCAACACATATCATTTTCATAATTTTTCATTTAAAACCCCATAAATACCTTTAGGTTTCCAATTTTGGACTTGTTTGGTCAATTACCATTTCTGCAAAATTTTCGGACCAAGAAAAACATAATTTAGATAATCTAAAATGTAATCGAATTGGGCGCTATAAACTGGGATAAACTTAGAACAAGAATCGAACTATCAATTTTTCTTAAAATTAAAGCACTAAGAGCGATTACCTGGGATGACAATTTGCAAATCTGAACAGAAAAGTTGTATATTCATAATTCCAAAGACAGATCTAAATATTAAAAACTAGGGTTTGAATTGAAGACCCACCTTTGAAATTGATAATGGAGATGGATGGCGCACCCTTGAAATGTTTGCTTCATGTGAAATGCTCCCTTCAATTCCATTTCATTTAATGAAGAGATATTACCCAAAATGGGACTAAAAGAGTTTGAAAATTCCAAAATAGGACTCCCATGTTTTTATTCCCAAAATAGGACTAATTACTGCCATGTTTTGGCAGTACCAGACTTCAAACATGGCAGTATTTTCCAAATATGGCAGTAATTAGTCCTATTTTGGGAATAAAAACATGACAGTCCTATTTTGGAATTTTCGAACTTTTTTAGTCCCATTTCGGGAACTTTCCCTTTAATGAATTAATTAAAAAAGGAAGAAAAAAAGAAAGCCAAGAGGCAAGAAGAAGAAGACTCGAAGGAGAGAGGAGAAGTTTGCGTAAAGAGGGTAGAGAAAGAGGAAAGAGACTGAAGGTGAAAAAAGGTAAAAATAAAAAATGGGCTTTTATACCTTCTACACTTTGTGTACAATATATGTATAGTAAGCATTTTCCTACCAAATATGTGAGGGTAAGGTGGTGAGTAATAAATGGATTTACTTTATCTATAGGGTAAAGAGTACGGAGTATATCCTTGTGGTGCAGCAAGACAACCTTGCTAATTTGGCTGATCCAAGTATTCTGCCCTATAACATCATCACAAACTTATTGCTTTCAATTACTTGAGTAAATTACCAAAATACGGGAGTTTTGGTTTTGAATTCACGGGCGTCCTATTTGGGGGTTCCGACTAGATGCTAGGGTTTAAATTCGCATTTCCCACCTCCTGTCGGAAATGGGTAATCCGACAAGGAGAGATCCTATTTTTTAAATTAAATTTTCCGGTTGTTGGAATTGGCTAATCCGACAAGATTAAATGTTCCTTTTTTTTAATTAAATTTTTGAAATATAGATGCAACAATAATTTCAATCCAAAAACCATGTGAACCGAGATTCCATTTTACTCCAGTCCAAATTGGTGCTTCCAAGTAGAATAAAAGTCAAAATGTATAGTGTATACGTGTTCAATTTTAAACCAAAACTTTTACCTAATATGGTTGCTCATTTGTCCTATAAAACCCATTCCCCACCCTCAAATTTTATCACAATAAAAAAAAACTTTTTCCTCTCTTAATATATTTAATATATACCACCGTATATAGAAATGTCTAGTGAGAGTAATGTTGTTGTTATGGTTCATTGGAATGGCCTACATTTCAAAAAGATGATGAAATAGAGTACTCCATTCCTCCTAGGGCGGTACTATTCATCACCGAAGAGGATGATTTTACCAGTATATACAAGAGTGTTCTAAACCATGTTAGAAGTGAGGGATTTTCCGAAATTAAATTAATTCACGGAAAATTGCCGAAATATAAGAACTCGGTATATGTAGCTTCTAGACTATGGCCCATTCACGATGAGAAGACATGGACTCATTTTTTTAAGATTGCTAGAAATGAGTACGATGAATTGCACATTTACGCGGAAGCTATACCAGCCCCGTCACAAAATGTGACGTTCCATGAAGCTCCTACAAATAATAATGCTATGCTTCAAAATAGCGGAAGGGGTCCATCATCAATATATGGCCGGAGGAACAAGCCCCAAACGTTTCAGAACTTCGAATCTCCAGGTATGTATTGTTCATGTTAAATACAATTTGAAATGAATTGGTTTTATGTGTTGACATTTATTGTTAATAGTTTAATAAATAGTTAAATGTTATATAGTGATCGAATAGTTAAAATAAAAAGTTATCAACGAGACCTTTAAAATAAAGTAATAGAGGAGCAAATTGTATGAATTGCATAAAATTTCTAATAGTTTAATTTAAGTGCGGATCTGACCCCTCGATCTATAATAAAAATTAAACGGGTACAAATTTATCACATATAAGACTAGTTCACTGTATTTATCATGTGCCGGTAATTTATTTTTAGGTGTTTTGATAATAGTACATTACACTAGTTTAAAGAATAGTACATTACACGAGTTAAAATAATACGTAGTAGTACATTACGTGTCTCAAAAAATAATTAAGGACTCATTCAATTAAATAAGGACACATTCAATACTAGTGACCTATGTTGTAAAAACCGAATCGGGAAGTGACCCGGCCGAATGAGCGGGTCATGGGTCAACCCGGACCTAGCAGGTCAATCGTCGGGTCAACCCGGTTAACGCCGGAAAACTCGGTCAACATAGAAATTAAATTATTACTCTGAAATATACAAATTTTAACAAAATATAAAATGTATTTTAAGTTAAATTGACAATACATACAAATATGATGCTTATTTAAAAAGTTTAATGTTATATAAGTATATACTTTCAGTTATTAATACAGTAATAGTACATAGTCTTTATTAATGTTGTTATATTTTATTATGATGATCATTACTCCGTATTATTTATCAAGTAGTAGACTAGTAGTTAGCTAAATTGACAATAAATACAACTATGATGCTTATTTAAAAAGTTTAATGTTATATAAATACTTTCAGTTATTAATATAATAATAGTACATAGTGTTTATTAATGTTTTATATTTTATTATGATGATTATTAGGATGTTTTTGCTTGGACTGTAATTTACTGGTCTGGTCTGGTCTGGTTTCTTTGTATTTTTATAACTATCCAAGTCTGGTCTGGTCTGGTCGTACCTTATTTGGTAAAGTTTGTGTGGCTCAAAATTATTCTTACTTTATTCTTACTTTATTCTTATTTTATCAATTAATATCAACCACACAAACTTAATTAGTTTATACGTAGTACTTCCTCCGTTCTTTTTTAGTTGCAACGGTCAACATTTCACGCTTGCCAACACACATCTTTGACCGTAATTATATCCTAATCTCTATTAGTTAAAATAATTAAAAATCAGATTTTGAAAATTTGTAATGAGATGAATTGAACAATATCTTTTTTAAAAAAATAATTTTCGTAAAATAATACCGTAAAATGTAGTCAAAGTAGAACACGTGAATAGTGTAAAATTCAACATGTTGCGATTAAAAAGAAACGGAGGATAGTACTTATTTATCAAGAAGTAGACTACTAGTTAATATAAACCTCAGTGGTCCAACTGTATATACAAAGGATCGGTGGATCGAGATGTGCACGGAGTCGGCTGGTTTCACTCCTCAAGAGACCGGTTTGCGCACATCAGATATTGTTATGAGTAGTGTTATGCGTCGCCCAATACTACCTCATAGTACAGACGAAGAGGTCACCCAGCACGCTAGGGTCATAATATGGCAATTATTGGGAGGCTTTTTATTCCCTGACACGAGTTCGAGCAGAATAAGATTGTATTTTTTGGAGCTCTTGCAGGATGACTTGGCTTTAGCCCGGGACCTCAACAGCGTACGCTTGTACTGGGACCTCTTAGACCGCATGACTGAGAGCCAGGTAGCAGTTGGAATTTACACTTCAACCGTACTATTCAATTTTCAGTACCCATTGTTTTATAGTTGTTACATTTACAATTTACAGTTTGATTTCTTTCCCTACCCATTCGATGCACTCCCACAAATCTGTGTTGATGCCATTCGGCTTTGGGCATATGAGGGGATGCTCGTATTTTGCAATATGATTGAAAGGCATTACCCCGATCGATTTCTTCGGCAGTTCCATATAATGCAAGATATTCCGAAAGACACTGAGCAGGGGAATGATCATCACGCTAGTCGTTCCGCTGTATCATCATCTGTGTTAACATGGTGGGCGGACCGACATAATCATGTATACGCCCTGGATTATGAACAAAAAATGAATCTCGAAGCGACCGATAGGTACCGAAGATGGTACTCGCTGCATGGGATGATACGTGTCAGGAACCCTTCTCATGTTGCGCCCGCGATAGGCTACACCCCGACAACACGCGATTGGGGCCTTATGGTCAGTTATTAAATACATATGATATTCATTAACATACTTTGTGTCATATTATTTACACGTATTACATTTGTATGCAGAAGCAGGGCATGCACGATGTGTATCAGCTCGCCAACAGGGCAGGTTATGAGGACGTAAAAGAACGGCTTGAGCGGTTGCCTCTGGAATTAGGTAATGAAGAGATGCTCCACCATGGCGTATTCCTTTACCCGGATGCACAAGAGGAGCCCGCTCCTGTCCCTCGTCGTAGGCCACACCGACGAAGAAATGCTCCCACCTGTGATCGTAGACATGGTCACGCTGATGAAGATAGAGATGAATATGCAGGTGACGGTGGAAATGAGGAAGAGGGTAATGCAGATGAAGTTGAAGGTTGGGGTGAGGAATCACAACCGCCCCCTCAATTCTCTTCGCATCAAGATTTCCCATTTTTTTGAACCACCGACGTATTATGGTTCTTATCAGTACTCTACACAGTCGGATGCATATGTTTCCACTTATGAAGACACAACGGGGGTTTGGAACACCGGCGGTGGGGACATGGCAGGGCCGAGCACGCAATGTTAGATGTAGTATTAAGTTTATTATTGTAGTATTAAGTTTATTATTGTATGTACAATCTATCTATTTATTACGGAGTAATAAATTACATTGAAAACTATTCACTTACATTACAATTACAAAAATTGCATTTTAAACAAAATCAAATTGTTATTTGATTTTATGATTATACATTTATACTACGTAATTCACAATACCGATGGATTAAAACATAAAATAAACTCACCAATGTTTTGTTATTCAAAAAATCAATTTATTTTTAAAATAACAATTTACATATACTCTTTGACAGAAATATTACATAGGAAAAATTGATAGTAATAATCCCAACTATTGGCGGTCCGTTCATAATAATCCCAACTATTGATTATTACAGAATAATCCCAACTACGTTTTTTAATATTACTAAACGGTATTACTTTTAAAATTGTAAAAAACTGACTTTATTTTAAATTTTTTTTTTCAAATTAACAATTCCTCCAAGAATTTAAAAATCAATAAAAAACTTATTCGGAATTAACAATTTCGACTGAATCTAAAAATAAATAAAAAACATATTCGGGAATTCACAAATACTTTCGAATAAACAAATAGTTCAGAATTTAAAAAAAAAAACAAAATTGCTCTCTAGTCTGAATTGGCTCTTCAGACAGGAAGAAAACAAACTTTTCCCGCATTTTGGCAACGATTGTTAGCTTTTCCCGTGTTTTGGGAAAACACCCCAATTACTTTATCTGCACAACACAAAAGTTTAATTCAATGTTTTTTTTTATCTAATGTATCAAGAAATCCCAAGTCATCTGGTTAGAAACAATACCCAATACTGCATTAGCCATTAAGGTAAGGCCAACTGAGATCATGCAATTTTAGCTATTTCTTTGATTTTTTTATTACATCTATTATTTGTGACCATTTAGGTGTTGCCTACCACATCTGGTTGAAAATAATTTTGATTAAATTTTGCTCAAAAAATTTCATAAATGAGCGTGTTTGGCATGCATTTGGTGGTTAGCATGCACTTAGCAAATGACACATTATGTTAGCGGGTTGTCAATAGCAGATTCAATCGGCGAATTTAACTAGCAGAATACGTTTGCGGGTTGCCAGAAGATGTTTGGTAATTTAGCCGTTTGGCCATATTAAAAAACGGGCACTAACTCAAAACATTCCTATTTGCATCGTTTTCATTTTAGCGTTTCAGTTAAAAAATGTTAGGTCTGAACAACTATTTACCAAATATCATTTTCATTTATTTAAACCGCTAAAAGGAGGCAAATCACTATTTTTTTTTACTGAAACACCATTCTTTCAAAAACGGCATTTCTTGTAGTGGTTTTAAATCTCAATTTTTTTAATACTACCTCCGTCCCGAAAAGGTTCGTCATATTGACTTTTCTTGGTCAATGATGACGAACTTTGGGCAGTGATTTAAGTATTATATTATTATATTATTCATAAATTTTGTACTTTTATGAAAATATTTTTAATAAGGAACATTTTGATATAACTTTCATAATCTAAATAATTTTGTATTAAAAGATATCATTGGTCAAAGTTGATCGTTATTGACCAAGAAAAGTCGATTTGGCGAACCTTTTCGGGACATATGGAGTATAAAAGAGCAACTTTTTATATTAATATCAAGAAATCATAGAGAACATCCTCTAGACATTTATGATCGAGTTGATCGTGAGCCCTAGAAATCAGTCACCTCATACAAAACAACCTGACTCGCTAGACACAAAACAGAAAAAATTGTCACGGATTTTTTTTAACTACGGTCCCTGACAAAATATGTGACAATCTCAATGTTTTTTTTGAGTGTTTCTTCTTTTTATTTACACTGTCGGAGCCCGGAGCCAACGTACTGTGCCGAAGATGAAGGTCGGCAGCAACAACGTCGCTGGAGAAGCTGAAGAGCCCTGCCGTCCAAACTGTCCACCTCTCCATCTCCGATTACCTGCGCTGCTCAATAGGAAGAAGAAGAACGAAAATCAGCTACAAATTAGGGCCGAAAGAAGAGAATAGGGGAAAGAAGGTGTGGTGTGGGTGCAGTGGGAAGAAGACGAGATAAAGAAATGGGGGAGAAGGAAAGATGGGACCGGGAAGAAGAAGAAGAGGGAGGTGCGGTGGGAGAAAGAAAAGGGGAAATTTAGAGAAAATGAAGGGGAAAAAAGACAAAAATTGACACATGGATAGCCACGTCAGCAGTCACCGGTTAACCGGGAATAGACCGACTAGATTTGAAATTTGATTGTTTTTTATATAGTTTATAGATTTAATTGAGTGTTTCTTTAGTTAGAGGGTATAATTGACTTTTTCAATATACTTCAAGGATTGATTTGACAGTCTTCCCTTTAATTAATTAATAACGAAATGAAAGAATGCAATAATTTAGATAAAATGAGTCTACTATTAACTAGGTGGTGCAATATGCATGAAAGCACTAATTAATGCAGGTGTCAATCTTAGTGCAAGAACTCGTGATGGATAGGTGTACACATACACAAGTGAAAGAAGGGAAGCAACAATATATTACATGACAAAGAATGTCTATAGTTTCCCTCCGATCCCCTCGCATCATTAATCTTTTTGCGGAATATCTCTGAACATATAGAGAAAGAGAACATGGAATTGTAAATAAGTTGTTTGAAGGTACATACTACGTGTCTACACATAAAATAGGCACTCACTTCATTCATGAATGAACTAACTATCATGCATGTCACGCCCAATCTTAAGTTCATGATCCATCAGTGCATATATATACACGTCTACGTAATTATTCCAAATCAATAATGGCATACTTCAAGGTGCTTGCTCCTTTGGCTCTGTTCATCGCAACTTCATGTATGTACCTTTATTTTTATTGTTCTTTTGCCAATAGGAAATTCTAGAATACATGATAGAAACATATTTCATATATATACAAATATGATTAATCATTTTCAGCAACGTAACAAACATGTCTTATTCTTTCATAAGAAGGAATAAAAGTAATTAATAAATCTCTATTGTTAGAGTGAAAGAGAACTAATTTATGGAAAACGACCCATATTTTTATTTGAACATGCTGAATATCTTTTAGATCTGTATAAAAATTTTCTCTTTTCCTTGTTTTTGTTTCTTATAGTTTTTGTTATGTTTATTTAACTATGAAGTTATATGTATATTTTATTTATATATATGAACACACACATGCACACATATGTAGGATCAAATGAGAATGTGATTTGATGAGAGAAATTAAATGATGATAATAAATTCAGTGCGTTCATTTGTGAATTGTGAATTGTGAATTGTCAAATGCGCACACGATTATAACCGGCATTATTTAAAAAAAGGCATTATTTGAGAAAAATGTTGTAATATATTTCTAGTTCATACACAAAGCGCATATTCCATCCCACAATTAAATTCCAAGTATATATTCACGAGTTCTTAAACATAATAAATTTTATTGATTTTTAAGTAATCTCTTTGTCAAAAGTATGATAGACAAGTATGTCAAAATTAGGTATGTATTTTTCATAAGAGTCCCTAAAAAGGCCAAAAAGAAAAGTGACAACTTAAGTTTGTTTGTGTACACATAGTGTATATACACCACACACATATTTTGTCTATGCTTATCTAACGTACTTAATATGTTTGGAAATGAGCATGAGTTGATAATTGTAATAATTTACTTTGTAGTCATCTTAGGGATTGCAAATGCTAAATGTAATGGCCGTGATGTGTGTTCACCATTTGAGACGTCACCATGCGGCGATTCTACCAACTGTCGTTGCATCCCTTGGGGGTTGGTGGCTGGTCAGTGCATAACCCCTCGACTAGCGTCTGTTGCTAAGAGGATCGAAGACCATCCAAACTTATGCCAGTCCAATGAAGAATGCTTCAAAAAGGGAAGCGGTGATTTTTGTGCTCGTTACCCTAATCCTCATATCGACTATGGCTGGTGTATCAACTCCTCTTACACTAATAATTACGATGACTCATCACAAGATGGTTTTTTAAAGATGACGACTACCACATTATAATTAATAGCTGCCCCCAATAATAATCACAATTATATATATCCATCCCCGGCCCACTGATAATAATAATATGGAGTAGTAGTCAAATTACATCTTATATATGTATAGGACATCTACTAGCTAGCTATCTAGCTAGCTAGGTGTAATACTCTAAGTGAATAAATGGATTTACCTATCAATGATCCGGGCTTAGCTGTTTTTATATAATTTGTATTTCCTTATGTGGTATACTACTTATTGTTCAATAGTAGTCCAATTCAAAAATATTGTATGAGAATAATTTACATGAAATAATTTTTTTGTAAATAAGTTAACATGATTTGAACATAACATCGCCTCTTTAAAGAAAAAAGACGCATTCTATTCACTTTAAGTTGTTATTCCTATAGATTGTTGTAGGAGCAAGGAATACTATAATCAAAATAGGAAATGTATAAAACATGACATCCACAAATAATTGGGAGGAGGAGATATAATATAAGAGTCTTTATGTTTTCTAATAACATCAAAGTAAGAAATATTGCATAAAAGAAAATTGAAACAAACTATGTTTAAAAGGAAGGTAGGGTAACTAAATATGAGAGAGCATATGTGTATATATATATACCTCGTATATGTGTGTATTGGGGTTAGTTATAATAAAAAGAGGGCTTAACGTGTGAAATATTTCACAAACACTTTTACCAATATTTTTCTCATGTTATGTGCAGTGCAATGCACTTGTTTACAAAAATGCGTGATATTTTTGTAAGCAAGTGGGTAAAAGTGCAATGTACTTTTTTATATTTTTGGAGAAATATAAAAAAGTGCATTGCGTTGCATATAAGTGCAAAAAGTAGAGGTAAAAGTGGGTGCAGAAAAATTCACATGTTAAGCCCTCCTTTTATTTGATCCTAATTGTATACATATATAAGAAGATCACCTCAGGTAGTTGTGATGGGAGCCACCATCTGAACTTGTCTATTTGAGGGCTTATGGGTGAATTTTTTTGATTAAATTTTGTGAACATGTTCTTCATTAAGTGTAGATTATTTACTCAAAATTTCAACTTAAAAATCAATTGAGAACTCAGTTGAATAAATTATTGAAAAACACCGCGTTTTTATAT